AAAATTTTCTTAATGGTTCTTTCCACATTTGCATGGAATCACGGTTCTCGAAATGTTAACGAAATCTCTGAATACACGAATCCTGCAAATCATTACAGAGAACATAGGTTATATCTCGATAAATTAGCGACCACAATAATGAAACTCTCCTTAAGGAAAAACATTTCGTTACGTACGTCACGAGATAACAATAAATGAACAAATGAATGAATAAGTTGTCGAATTGACAACACGGAGAAATGACCTCTTGGAAATCGCATCAAGGTTGATACTATTGATATGAGCGAACTTCTCCTTTCTACGGTTCGAATTCCATCCTAGCTGTATCCATCTATACGTCTGGATCTTTGCGTTGTTCACTGTTCCATTCCTGAAAGCTGATTCATTATAGATGAAGCGATATTCAGTGAAACATTAACTGTAACATTAATCTCTACAATCTCTATGTACAGAAAAATATATATTTTGTTGAGCGACCTGGCTTACCTGATAAGATATAGCCATTTTCTTAGATCTGTCTCAAACAAATAGCGCAGTCGCGCTCATTGATACAAATTGATCACTGTAGATCAATCAATACGTTCATATAGCAATAGGCGGATCGCGATCTTCAAGCTAACTGTCTTCTCAGGTTTGCCCGGAAACATGTGAATTTCTCTTCACTGTTTGATCCAGCATAACCTCTAGATTCAGAATACTGAATGTTATAATGAGCAATTTAGCTTAGTTCAGGAGAAATACGTATTTTATCAATACTATCTCAAGGCAATGCGGGTGCCACCTTCAAGGCTACCGTATGCTCAAGTTTGTCCACTAACATATGAGTTTCTTTGCATCAATCGATCCAGCTGGATCTCTTCATTCAGAAAAGTATATATTCTGCTGAGCGATTTTGCTTTCTTGAGGAGTTATAGCTATTTTTGCAGATCTATCTCAAGTAAATGCGGGTACAACCTTCAAAGCTACCGTATGCTCAAGTTTGCCCAGTGTAATCACTAAGAAATGTGCCACTGGGTATGAAAGGTGCCACTGGATGATCACTATGAAATAGAGAACTAACCTCATTTCGTAGTGATTACCCAGTGGTACCTCGCCATTGGATAAGGAAAAATAAATGAAACAATAAAAGACAACTGTCCGTTATTACCATACCACAAATATTCTCTAGTTTCAGAAAATATGTATATTGTTGGGCAATTTTGCTCACTGTAAGAAGAAATGATGATTTTCTGATGCCATTTCAAGTATCTGAGCCGCTAATTCCTACACATTGTATGTACATTGATTAAGGCATACGAGGAATCAGCAACTTCGGGATCACCATTTTCTTTCTAAATACTCTCAGGTTTGCACGGCAACATGTCTTTTCCTCTCAACCATTAGATTGTTCAGATTCTCCGGTTTCAGAAAATTATATATGTTGTGGGACAATTTTTCTCACAGTTTGGAGATTGTCGATCATCTCGCTGTATGCATACAGGAATACTTTATGTTGTTCTTTTGTTAAAGTTGTCCTCAAGTATCCTATTGCTAGAAGGCGATTTGCTTATTAGAGCGATTCGAATGCGTATAGATTAAATATCTTGAACGTCTCAACTGTACCATTCATGTTATCACATGCGTCTTTTCTTGATTCAAGCTGATTATGGTGTCATCGAGAGTATCTTATAGAAACAGTCAACATCATTCCTGAGAAGAGATCATATCCTCATGCTCCAGACTCCAGCAAATGCAAAAGTTCCAAATCCAGGCTTCCTTTTGATGACACAATTTCAAATGGCTGATCACAGATCAAAAATTTTCACAGCGATGCAACGGAATTTCGCGAGACGCTGTTGTACAGCATGCGAGGACATTTTAGCTATTGTTGTACGGGGTGCGAGAATATCTTGGAATTCTCTAGGGTGTGCGGGGGGAAGGGAACGGTTGAGAACCACTGCTCTAATACACTAAGAAGCCAAATGATATGCATTCTCTCACCGTGAGCATTGCAAATTTACAAAAGTATAGTCTTCTGCAGCGTATATGTTTTATTTTGCTTTTATTTGTGCTCACCTCATTCCCAAATTTTCAACATATAATCGACCAATACTTTGGAATCCTTTACATATCGTCCTGGAATCGGTTTACAAATGAGTATACCTATGCCGAGCATAATCTGGGTGAATCTCGAGCATAAGATAGTTTAAATGGTAGTCGGGGCATTCTCTGCATGCCTGCAGAAGTGGCAATATGTCAACTTATTCATATGCGTTGCGACCTGTGCTCAAGTTGCATGACTAATTGCTACTTTTTTAAAAATGACTGGGCGAGGCGGGGCGCGTAAGAGGCAGGTCAATCCCGAACTACTCAGTGATGAAGAATATGTGCTGAAGAGGCAAAGGAATAACGATGCTGTCAACAGGCACACTTTTGAGTTCCTTTTCCACCGTGTTTTAATTTATTTTTCTAATAATTTCAGTGGGAATTATATGACGGTTTTGTTTGAATCCATCCATGCTTGCAGTTTAATTTTTACTAAATTTGAGTAAATTTATTGGCACTTTTGCTTATAACGGGCGCCACTGCGCGCGTATGCTTAGATTACCACTTTGTCCTATGTGTAGATATGCATTTCGAAGTCAAATCAGGAGTACTTAGGCTTAGACTTACGCTTAGCCCAGTGATGAGGCTAACGCAAGGCTTCGACTTACGAATGAAGCGTATGAGCACACAAGCATCTGTGATGACGCGGTGGCGCCCGTTATCAGTGAAAGTACCAATTTGTTTATTTAAAATTGGAATAAATTTATTCATAGGTTGCTTTTGGTAAAAAAAAAGGAATCGGAAGTTTTCGCATAATTGATGGAACTCTGAATGACACATTCGAAAATTGGGGTATTAGTGGATATTGGGTTTTAAGTTGATGTTTTCTAAATGGAGGTTTTGAATCTAAATCCGACGGACTCAGTTGAAGAGAGCAATAATCCGGTCTCATATTTGCAGGACTCGTCAAAAGAAACGTCAAGAAGAAACGGATACTTCGCTTCGGGTGGAAGAATTGCGCAATGAAAATATGCAGTTGGAACGGAAGGTAGCGAATTTCCGTCATCAATTTTATCGTCTTTTGCTTAATTGCAGATTGAATCATCTTCAGTCAATGTATTCGTTTTAACTTATTAAGGGTAACGTAGTTTGATTGTATGATGAATGTAAATGTTTTGCAAAGCGTGTTGTTAGTTGATGGTTATGCATAAGCGCATTGGAATTACTCCCTAAGATTTGAGCCAGAGAAGAAAAGGATGCCTGGCATCACATTACTAATTATCATGCTTCATTTGTTAACGATGAAGTCGTGTTATTCAGTTTATCATTCATAACAAAAGGTGGTTAACTGTTTAATAAGTTGAGGTAGTTTGCTTCCGTTTTTCGTGTTCGTGAGAAGCTGACTGTCAAAGTGTGGTATTTGCAGGTCGAAGGTCTACAAAAAGAATTGGATTTTTTGAAAGAAATGTTTGTTGCATATGCAGCCAACAATCGTAAAAAATGGAATGGATCAGATGAGCCGTCCGAAGGACCTTCCAGTTCCAAAGCAGCACCGTCTAATTAGATGGTTCACATCTTGGAAGAACCTCATTTTTATGAATTTGTTGTTCCGTAACCCGTTAAAGGGCATTTTTCGTCTAGTGGCAATTTTCTTCTCATTCTTTTAGCCATCAACCTGATATCTCTGTCAATAGTTCAATTTTTTTCTTGATTCTGATGACGTAAGAAAAAATTCTCGATTGATGCATAGTATTTGTTGCGGAATTTTGACTGTTCTAACATTCCTTAATTTATTCCATTCCTTTATTCCTGATCGTTCACAAGCAGGTAGTCAATTTTTTTGAGATGATACTGGATGGATATTATTTTTATTGAATCATTTGTGATCGTTGCACTCAAATATCCAGACGAAGCGGACGAAGAATGGCTCTGAAAACCTTGGTCTGACCCAAAAAAAATGTCGCTATCTCCGATTACTCCGTTTTTACATTCTTGTGATATGGTATTTTTTTAATGTGATATAGTTGAAATAATTCATTCCGGTTGTATGAACAAATCAAGTCGCATTGTCGCAAAATGTTTGTTTTAATTACAGTTATTCCATATGATTGTGAATGAGGCATGTGAAAACATTTTGCACTCGTCCTTCGTTGTTATGCACACAACTGCGTACGGCGTGCCACTAGAAGCGTGGATCACTGGCAAGAACGAGTTATTTTTATTAATGCTGCAACATGAGTATAAAGGATTTCTGATTGTTGCTTTTCGGAGAATTCAACCATTCAATGAAGTGTAAATACGTGTGTTTTAATGTTTTCTTTCATAGTTGTATATAATGTAATGTGCACTTTTCGTTGTATTATTTCTTCGTTTTGTAGTATGCTGCAATCGTTGCAAAATGACGTCCCTTTACACATTTCATTTGCCTTTTAATGGTATTGAACAGGATGTTCCAAATTCTGTTGATATATGGCAACAATAAATGATAACATCACTAGCTTGGTTCATTTTACCTCATAATTGCTCACGTTGTGTTCCGTAGCACTTCTTCCGTCTTATCTCAATTTTACTTTGGCTATTATCTTCAAAGCTGCATCGGAGCCGATAAATTAACGATTTCAGAATTGGTAAAGAACCACTGAAGCGATATTTTGTTCAATAAATTACTGTTTCATTTGTTCGTTGTATCATTCGTGAGATATTGTTTTTACAAAATGTTCAGTAGAAAAGAATTGGTGAATATTTTGAGCAGTTTAACATTTTGTATCTAATGAAAACCGTTCAGTTCGGTGAATAGAACGGCAACGATTCAACTGGATGGTGTGTCGAATAAAACATGCCTGAAGAAGTATCTGAAGAAAAACGATGTTTTTCGCATGTAGTAGGAGAATGTTTGAAAACGTCTAAGGATATGTTGAACTCTGGACAGAAATTTATTGCAGATATGAAACTGGAAAACGAACGTGAGGTAATGATTTAGTTTTATTTTCAGTCTTATTTGCATTCTTGATGCATTCATTGTATTTAACAAATATTACTGTGTGAGACGAAGAGGAAAAGATGTAAGGAAACGAAAGCACAAGCTGAATTATTGACAGACACTATAGCAGCTTGTGGGTTTTGTTGAGCTGCTTCGAATTGTATTTACACATTAAATCTATTAGACGTTTAGGGTATATCGCTGTTTGAAGTAAAGAATCGTGATTTATTGTCATATATGACGGAAGTGACGAATTTGATGTGTCAAATGAGCTTCGCAGAAAGCATTCAAGGTTGCAGTGCGCTGGAACGATGTGTTTTCTTGAGAACTGTAAGCTCAATTCGTCAATTCAGCCTTTCGTTTTATTTATATAACGTTTCAAACCATTTCTGTGTCTTCAGCTCGCCAATCCTAAAACTGCTATTTAACTAAAAAGGTGATGTAAACATTCATCAGTTACAGTTAGCATGATAATGTGAACATTTGTACTTAAAGGTTTTAGAACGTATCAGACCAATTGAACAAAAATTGAAACCCTACGTTGAGAAGAGCATATCGACTTCGGCAACAAACACAGTTTCGAAGCAGGTTAGTTGCCGAGTGATGGCGATTTTCTTGAGATTGAAAAACTTTCTGAAACAATATGATATTGTTGAAGAAATTAACACATCACAATGCAAGTAAATGTGATTTTAAAATTCAACATTTTCTTCATCCGATGCTTTTTACAAAAGTGTTCCTTAAAAGGTGCTAACTAAAACTCAACGAAAGTTTTTAAGGTTTTACGGCCTAGGCCAGATCTTATGAAAGTTGGAGATGAAGAGATCAGTGAAGAATCAGAAATGAGTGACGACGAAATGGGAGGACGGTCATCCTCGGTCCAAAAGTACGTTCCTCCCAAAATGATGGCACTTCGATACGATGGTAGATTATTACGCAGCATCAGTCTACTATTCCATTCTTTATTCTTATTAGCGTTTAGTATATAGTTGGACAAAATGTTGCGATGAGTTTTCATCTTTGAAACAAATTCACATTCCAAAAATGATTTGTTGCATTGGCCATCAAACAAATGTTCCAGAGCAATAACACCTTGCGAATTCCATTTATTGGAAGCGTTAGCGAGCGATAATAATTGAGTTGTAGATCAATAATGAGTGACTTTATTATAGAAGATGAGAAGGCGAAAGAAGAAAGAGTATTGGAGCATGCAAGGAGAAGAGCACTCGAAAGCAGTCTTATAAGTGACTTACGGGCGCAGTATAGTGAGGCACCGGAAGAATTGGAAGTAATATAATTCAGATATCGTTTTAATATTAATTGCTGCTTTTTCAGTTTGAAATGGTAACGTTATTTGTCTATAACTCTCAATTTTTATTCGTTATCGTAGCCGATTTCATCTCTCAGTTGTCTAATTCATCAAATAAATCTTTCAGGAAGAAAGAAGAAATCGCAAAGTCAAGCAAAAAGATTTAGAGAAACAAAAGTACGTTCTTATCATTTTGTTTCTTTTCTTATTTGCATGAATTGCCTCAAATATTAGTAAGCTGTCTATCTAAGCAGTTTTCATCGGTGGTTTGGTCATGTCAGATAATGAAAAATTCTGGTTTTGATCAATTCTTCAAATTGCCATCTACCATTGCTACAGTTTATTTCGAATCTTCATATGCTCGCCAGATTAAGAAGTAATTGCACTTTATATGATTTCTTGCATGACAAAAACCTGATGATTCAATGCAAAATATGGAAAAGAATGACTTGATAGTTGCTCAAAAGTCAGCAGATTGGGAATTTAGGCTACTGCATCAAGCAGATTGCAGCATGAAAATCGTAAGCAAGCAAAAGGGCTAGTCAGTGATCAGTGGAACGAAAGTCCACTTTTGTTTTAACTCTTAAATTCGTTTATTACCAGTTCGCCTCGGTGCACCAAATTCAAGGAGCGGAAATATCAGTCGGAAACTAATTATGAAATTGTTCTACATTTGCGATTTGTCTCATCGTTTTAGCGCATACAGCTTCGCATCACTCACTCAGAACTGAGTTCAGTAAGCATATTTAGGTATCGCATATTTTGCACTATGTCATAAAGATGATGAACAACTGTATGTAGGCGGTTTCCGTTTTATTGTGATGGATGTTGCAGATACGAGGAGGACTACATGATTCGTTTACAAATGACCAAAAAACAGCAGCATGAGCACAGATTACAAAACAGGCAAAATGTTCTTGATGAGCTGTTGCATTTTGGTGATTATATGGCTATGGATGAAGGATCAAAGAATAAGAATGATAAGAAACGGAAAGGCTCATCTGGCAAGGGACCAAAAGGAAAGCGATCTCGTGCAAGTGGTAATCGTTTCGATAAAATGAAAGGTGGTCGAAAAATGGTAGGTTGCCTGATTAGTCTCTCATTAAGGGATGACATTTATCGTTTTTGATCATTTTTCAAAATTTGATTCATGCTTTGCATAATGAAAATGAGTCTCAATTAACAGTATGTCAGTGATATTTCTTCCTGTTCAATGGAGTTGCAGTAGTTTACACCTTGATTCAGAATAGATTTCGCATTTTTGATCAGATGAATATCAAATATAGGTATTCTTCTGCGGATGACAACAAAATACTCTTGTCTGCGGATGACAACAAAATACAACAAAATACTGCATCACGTTTATCGTACAACTTTTGTGATGAATGACAAGTCCTATTTTCAGGGTAAGAGGCGCTCCCAGAAACATTGAAAATATTGGTAATCTGGCCTTGTTTGTACTGAGAAACACTGAATGCCTCAGAAACTTTATGTTCGAAAAGGCCTCAAATGATTACTATTTGGTGAATACATTTTAATAAAATTGTTATCATCCGTGTGAGACGTTATTTTATTGCTTCACAATGTACCTTCAAAATTTTACAGAGTAACCGATAGATTGAATTTAATTGTATGTACGTACGTAACTAAGTGAATGATTCATTATTTTTCTGCTCAAGACATTTATTGCGGACACGAATTGACGATTAGTGTTTGGATCACTATCTTCCACCATATCCTGGTCTCAACTGTACTTTTTGTTGAACCATTGGCTCTTCGACATCATCTGCGGAGTGATGTGAATTGATCAATTGTTGAGGTCGTTGTTGGTACTGTTGTTGTTGGTTTTGATTTCGTTGGTGCTGCTGATCGTTGTAATTTTCTTTGTTATCCACTAAACAACATTTTTCTTATTGACAAACGAACTCTCGGAATATTGACTATGAAAAGTTGTTATTTATGTACATTTGCGGTAGTGAACGAGACATTTTCAACCGAAATGACTAGCTGGAAATGATGTTGAAGTAAATTTGAATCATTGAGAAGTTCAAAGCCGAATTGCTTGTGAAAGTACGTTCAGTGAGTTATTCTCATTACGAACTATTTAACTTCTCACTGTGCTGATGCCCATCGTAACTTGTTTCGCTCGTGACACTTGATGTACTGTGTTTTCTTTGTCCCAGATAAGCTTTTCCTTTCTTAGCCGTGTCCTTGATGAATTGGTCGCTCACCGCTTGCGCTATTCCTCCTTAAAATTGATGACTACTTTTATCTTCAGTCGAACATTTTTCACTTCCTCAACAAATCAGCATAAAGACAGATATTCACCATAAGCATAGCAGTAGACCGTTAATAAAGTGGATAACTGAATTGTTAATGCAAATTGTGCGTCACTTACTGTTTATTCCTGCTTGTTCAGCATAGTCACCGATTTTCTCGAGTATTGTTTCTGAAATGAATCGATTTAACGATTGTGCAAACAATCGTTTCGGTTTTTGTTTCGCACTCAAACTTGATGAGTCGGCGAAGAGACAGTCAACGATTGTTAGTGAAGTGAGCGATGATCGCATCACTGTGATTTAATAAACATTTCAAATGTTAAATTGAGTTAGCTGTCAAGGTTATATCGATCGTAGATCAGAAGCTGAACTCGAACAGTTGCGAAAAAATGGTTCCACGTGAAAAAAAAAGGAATGATCGTAATGCTCCATCCGATATTCCATGATTGACATAATAGTGATAACTAATAAAGAAGTCTTTATTCAATCTCATAAGTAACAAGTTATTTCACTACTCTACGAGTAACTGGAAAATACTCATTCGAAACAGCTTGGTTCATAATCGAAATTGGTCTTTGTGATCAATGACTAAGCAGTGAAGCGATCGACAAACTTTTATGTGCTTTGTATTGTTGTTTAACGATACCCTCGCCGCGGTTCATCAGATTTTCAACGAGATTCGCCGGTGCAGGCGTCGCTGAAAAGGACTACGCGAATGCATGATTTTAATCTAACAGTAACAAACAGCAATCTTCTTGAAGGAAAAATTAGAAATAAAATTAATAATTGGTTATTTTACTCACTGGTGGTCGTCGTTATGAGTACATCTTTGAAAATCTTTCCAAGACCATGAAGTAGCTGCAAATCAACTTGATCGCACTGACATTCAATTGTAACAGATAGATTAATCAAAATAAATTTTCAATTTTCCTTCGCCGTTCTCATCAAGACGTTCATTGGAGGAGTCCCAATCACAAAGGTTTATAATTCTGCTCAAAAATCACATCGAATCATTCAGCAATGAGCTGCATCGATCGAAGGAATGAATCGATGACTCGTTTATAACACTTTTAGTCGCAATTCTTATTCATTTCTAACGTAGTAATTAGAATCACATTCGATTTTATTTTCTTTTTTCATTAATGATATCACATTCCAGTATTATCTCATTCAGCGGTATACGATGAGCATTTCATTCATTTTTACGTAGCACTCAAAGTACCCGAACAGTAAAGTGCTGAGAGAAGAAACAACAGCTCAAATCTATTTCTACGCATAATCAGTTACGCCTAGGGTTTGCACGGGATCCCGAGATTTCAGTTCTGATCCCGATCCCGGGATTTAGGTTTTGAAAAATCTCGGGATTTGATAAAACAGGTCAATTTGCGTGAATTTTGATAGTATGCCTATCTTAATTATATGCAGTTAATTAAGCAAGCCTTAATCATTCCCATCTAATTTATATGCAGTTATCTTTGCTGTTTGCCCTCTATCATTGATGTTCAGCTAAGGAAAGTGACACAATTCGGACGATTGACATGATCAACGACATCTCGATGAACTTTTACGTAACATTTCATTGAATATTGAACTGATTATTCTGCTCTTCATTGGTTTATATCACCCTCATCTGGATACATTTCTATGTAATAGACTAACAGAGATAATCACATTTTCTAATAAAAATCAAGAGCAACAAAGTTCAATGAAATTTTGAGTCGTTTCCTCCCACAAGATTTGTTTGGCTTCGATATTCCATCTGTCAATTCAAATGCATGTTCCAAAGATTGCAAGTCTTTTTACATCGCTATTTGGAAACGTTTTCTTAGATCGAAATGTACTCAAATTCTCACTAAGTTCACTCATAGTGAGAATTCATTGCCGAAGTGAGCAAAGTTGTTCATTCAAAAGGATCTTAAGCTTGAATATCAAGTACATTTGCATGATTTTTGATCCAAATTATCAAATATGTAAGTGCTGGATGGTTCGATGAAAATCCATCGCAGATGTTTTTTCACTTTTTAGATAAACTCTAAACTTTTAATTTTTTCAAAACTAAAATGGCATAATTTATGCGATGCATTTTTTTTGTAAAAAATCGAAATTTCCGAAATGGCAGAATTTAGCTGATGTTAATACTGAGAGAAAATGGACTCGAAGCATTGGAAGTAAGTATTTGAGAATCAAGAATTTTATATTCACATGCAAGTGTACTGTTATTATCTTAGACCCGAGACGACGAAATGCCTTGGCATAGAATATGCCATATGCCCTTGCGGCATGATCGCTGGCATCATTATTTGAAATATTAATTTGAATTTGAATACGTAGTTCCTTAGATTTGTTCAATAATTTGTTGATTTAGCTCCTTTCTGATTAATAATGAACATATTGGTTCGAAAAAATGTATTTAAACATGTCTCGCATCGATATTTCAATAATTGTTCGATCCCGGGATTATCCCGGGATCAAAAATCGATCCCAGGATTGAAAATTCGTCGGGATTTCGCAAACCCTAGTTACGCCCAAAATTTTGCGACACTGATCTCGTTATTGTATTCTGTAACTGTTACGCTGCGATATCGACATCAAAAATGTAAAATAACCGAGTGCTTTTCAGGACGGCCTAATGACTGTGCAATGACCATCGAGGTCAACAGCAACAACGTAATTGAAGACTGCATCTTTTTTTCTGCTTTTCCCTTAAAAAACACGATAATAGAGACGTTACGAAACCAGAATATCTGAAGTTCGTAAAGCTCTTCATCTCATCAATAACATCTTTAAATACTGTTTACATCTTTAAATCCCAGCATGAATTGTAATTCATTTTTTCGATAATTGGTGATTAAATAAAATCGCAGCTGAAAAGACATAACGAACGTATGCACAAAACTGATGTTTCCGTGCATCTGATACACGTTATCATTTCTTGAATTGTGATGGCATCCGAGCGAAATTTCAGTCGGCTGGAATCCGACCGAATTCACATTTCAACATTCCGACTGTCGAAATTGTTCAGTCGGGATCCGACCGAATTGACATTCTGAATTTTAGACAGCCGAAATTCCAATCGACCTTGCAACTTGCTCAGCCGGAATCTGAATGTCACAATTCCGACCGAAATTGTCGGATTTTTCCGACCAACCGTCGGTCGGATACCATCATTATATTTGAATTCATCAAACAGCATCACAACACCCCATTCATCTTTTGATATGAATGAGTAATATAGTAAAAATAATGAATGAGTGGTTTCAGAAGACCGCATTGGAAGGAGACACGTTCCAAAGCAGCACACCGTTGAATAACCCACTAAATTGCGTTTAAAAGTCTTTTCGTAAGCTTAACAGCTGCTTTGTGTTTTGTTGTTTTTAACAGCACAGTGCCTCGTGTCTCATCATCTCGACATTTGCTTCAGCGAAAGATTTATGGCAAACTCAAAGCTAGATTCACTTATTTTCATATCATTATTCAATACTATCATATATTTGTCTGAGTTGGATCATCACAGATTCAGTTTTAATAAACCTCTGAGCTCAAAGTTACACCCAAACCACCTATCACACATCACCTGCTCTGTCATTATTAATTGGCACGTGAATAAACAAGCTCATCGTCATTATTGCAATCGATGAGCCTTCAAAATAATGTTTCTCGGTAATCTCAACACATCAAAGATTATAGGCATATGTTTAACTAGACAAAAGCAACTTTTTTATCCACAATATACACTCCAAAACAATGTTCAATTCAGTAAGCAGTGTTTAGTTCGGAACTGTTTCATATTTCCAATAGAGTGTAAAGCAGTGAAAGGATTGATTTGATTATATTATTAATTACAAAATGACAACTGAAGGCGAACAGAACTAGCAATGATAAAGATGGTTCAGAAATTGAATATCAACTGCTCGAACGAGATCCGAAAGTGTGAAACGTTCATATACGATGATCTGGGTGAGCATTTTTTTGGCGGTTGGTTGCAACCAAAAATGTTTTCCTTCTTCATTCATCAAGCGAAACATTCCAAATGCAATTTTTTGTCATCGTTCTGTCCTCACCCATGCTTTCTTCAAATCGAGTCAAACTCAATTTGAGTCTGCCCTTCATACTCCACTCATCCTCGGTGGAATGCATTATTATGAACAATGAAGCTGAATCAATTCAACGATAACTTCTGTCCTCTGTCATCACGACGTTTCATATTATTTGAAATGCTTTTCTCATCGAGAGCAGATATAACGGTGATGATGCATTTTATGAGTAAGACATACATACACTTTACCCATCTATTCACAACTGTTTCATGTTGATGTATCGCCTTTGACGAACCATTTCAATGCGTTTTTCTCTTGGCTCAAATGTTCACATCACTGTCATTTTCTCTATCTGTAGTCCATTTGCTATTCCCGGTTTTTCTACTGGGTTTATTTCAGTTTTTTTAAAAATCAGTTCATTGATGTTTCGTAACGTACAATTTATGACTGGTATTCACATGATTGAGTTTGGCTGGCGCTACGCTAAATTCACTTCAGATTTTTTTGAACCAGCTCATTTGCCCATCTTTTTTAGTGACATGAATGTTACCTTATTTCAAGTGTATTTCAACAACAGCATGTTTACTTAACAAGTTATTCAATAGCATTGTTAAAATATCTTAGAAACAAGATATAATTTTCAAACAAAATTGCAATGCAAAACTTTTAAGTAGTAGGTGGTTGAAGATTATTTGTGAAAAACTATTTATTCACTTCACGTGTGAAAGGAAAAGAAACCTAGATTTAGATGAACGACGATAACTGAATTCGACCATCACCATATCACTGCTATATAAACTGCGAGAAATTCATGCATTATCATTCAGAAATTCCAAATTCTATGCAAATTCAACTGAAAATTCAGGAAGCACAGTACAGAATAGTTGAGAATCCAGTCGACTTTTCGAACATTCGTTGATAACCTGCAACAAATTGGCTCGTCCAGTGTACATGCGAAACGAAACCACTGAAATCCAATTGAAGCTGAAGCTTCTTCAACTCTTGGACGTTGTGAACATTTGGAAATGCTCAGCTTGGTTTGATTCATTTAGAACGCGAATCATTGTCACTCTCCACTTCGTTTCCATTGCTCATTGAATAACCAGAAATGAATATATGCTTTCCAGTGCTGTTTACATAGATAAGCATACATTTCGACTGATATTGTTTAGCAGTAAATATTGGTCGTAGTTCAGTAATCATCAAATGGCATTGTGTATTTTCGTGGATAAAGCAATCTGTTCGTTTGTTGTG